TCGTCAGGTATACCTCGATCTCTGAAAACTAAAGTGTATAACCAGTGCGTGTTGCCAGTGATGACTTACGGATCTTAGACGTGGTCCTCCACCGCTGGCCGTATGAGGACGCTCAAGGTGGCTCAGCGAGCTATGGAGAGGGCTATGCTTGGAGTTTCACTGCGTGATAGACTCAGAAATGAGGATATCCGCAGTAAAACCAGTGTGACCGACACAGCCCAACGGATTAGTAAGCTGAAGTGGCAATGGGCCGGCCATATAGCTCGAAGAACCGATAACCGATGGGGAAGAAAGGTTCTCGAGTGGCAACCTCGTACCGGTAGGCGTAGTGTAGGGCGACCCCCCGCTAGATGGAGTGACGACCTGGTAAGACATGCAGGAAGTCGATGGATGCAGGTGGCTCAGGACCGTGCTTTGTGGCATTACTTGGGGGAGGCCTATGTTCAGCAGTGGACTTGTGAAGGGCTGTATTGATGATGATGATGATGTACTGGCCATTGATGTTAATACTGTATCATTTCCAGTCCAGTAGCTTGAAACCGTCTTCGAATGCAGTGGTGAAGAGTTTCGGGGATATAACATCACCCTGTCTTACACCTCTCTGCAGTTGGATAGGTTTCGTACTCTGGTTCTGTACTCGGATAGCCATCGTAGCCCTACTGTGCAAACACTTCAGCATTTCGATATACCGGCAGTCAACTTTGCACCGCTGAAGCGACTGTAGCACCGCCCAAATTTCGACGGAATCAAAGGCATTCTGGACTATGAGTCCACATACGCCAGGCAAAGTGGCTGATTTTACTCTTGGGTCTTCCGTACAATCTGCCGCAGGGTATGTATGTCGTCTATGGTACTGAAGCCTTTTCGGAAACAGGCTTGTTCGGGAGGCTGGTAGTTGTCGAGTCTGCGTGCGAGACAATTCTTAATGACTCTCAAAAACAACGCGTAGACGCGGCTCAGTATGGAAATCGGTCTGTAGTTTTTCAAGAGAGCGTTATCACCTTTCTTGAAGAACAAGGCCATCGCAACTCTGCTCCATGCCTCCGGAGCAGTGCCACTATGGAGGACGGAATTGAAGAGAATCTGAAGGGCTTTAAGTACCGGTGTTCCACCCGCATGCAGAAGTCTCGCTGTAATTCCATCCTCACCTGCGGCCCTGCCGTTTTTAATGTGCTGGAGAGCCATTATAATCTCGCTTAGACTGACGTTCGGGATAACATCAGAATAGTTTCGGATGCGATTTACTCTTGGATTGTTACTCACACTTGCGTGTGGCTCCAACGATGATGTGTATAGCAGCCCATAGAACCTCTCAATCTCACTCAAAATCTCAGTTGTCCCGGAAACGATGCTGCCACACTCAGTCTTCAGCTTTGACAGTTGGCTCTTACTGGCAGACAGATCTCTGGCAAAGACTTTGGAGCCCTGGTTCCGCTCGATCGCTTCTTCAATACGAGCAGTATTGAAGTTGTGTAAGTACCGCCGTATGTGTTTGGAGATCTGTCTGTTCAGTTGCTTGTATGCTGTCAAATCTGCTGACGACCGCAGCTTCATCTCCCGTTTAACAGCCATGAGAATAATAGTGTCATCGGAGAGTTTTTGTGTTCTTCAACTCCGACTGCATGGACAGCTTGTCATTAATATCGTGCACTGCATTGCAATCTTCTGGGCACTGAAAGCGATTTTGTAACTCGAGCTGAAAGGTTTCGGTATTTCGGATTAGAGCACGAGGGGGACGGAGCGTTGACTTCATTAGACGAGACCTCTCCAACTTAACGTTTAGGTTCAGTGTGTCTCTAACCATTCGGTGATCGCTGCCACTTTTCACCCTTGCGATCACTGAGACATCACTGAACAGTTGCCGTCTAGTCGTCATAATGAAATCAATCAAATTTTTTATCAAATCGTCGGGGCTCGACAAGGTTCACTTTCAGTGCGGCCGCTCCTGGAAGAAAGAGTTCATCATAAAGAGTCCCTCTTTCTTCATGAATTCGGCCAGCTTCGGGCCCCTTAGATTCCGTTGCCCTATCCTAAATTTCCCTACCTTCAGCTCATCGTTCTTTCTTGTGCCTAGTTTTACGTTGAATACTCCCATTAACACCGTATAGTGAGTTTTGTAGGAATGCATGGCTTTAGAAATATCCTCATACCTCCACATTCCTCCACTTCCGTATCGGGATGTGCTGACGTTGGTGCGTAAACCTGTATGACCTTCAGCGAATACCGTTTGGTGATTCTGAGTATAAGGTACGCAACCCTCTTCGACACACTCCCAATCTTTACAACGTTGCTAACGAGAGACCTCTGGACGATAAATTCAACACCGCCTTGGGCCACTTGGTTGCCCTCCCAGTTATCACCAGAAAATACCATAAACAAGTTGCCGGATTCGAGAATCACCGTGTCCTCCCCCTCTCTTCGAACCTCGGATAATCCTATAATATTCCAGCGCAACTTGTCTATCTCTTCTTCCAGCTTCAGGATATTCTCGTCAGTCCCCAGGGTGCGTGCGTTATATGTTGCCAGGTCGAGTCGTCGAAGGTGGCAACCGAACCTTCACCATAGATTCTTAGCAACCCCTGCCCAGCTGTTACCATGGTCGTCACCGTTGCCAGGAATAGCGGGGCCGCCGGGGACTGGGGACCGTTTCTTCGTTATTCTCATCATCATCATATATTGCCATAGTTGACATGCTTTTTACTTATATGATTTACACCCTTCCCTTTAACATACTTCCATTTCTGATTTTTCTTTTCTTGTTGGCGTCCCCCTATTATTTTATTTCTCTTATTTGAACTTACGTAATATATAGGGTATAATTCTTTCTTTCAATGCGAATAAAGGAATATTTGTATTTCATAAAAAACTGAACACTCAGAAAAGTAAGCCACGGTATGAAAATTTTTGCCAGTGGCTCAAGATGTCATACGTATCCACACGTTTGTCGTGGTATGGTGATTAGATATTACAGTTTGGGGATTAGGTACATTATTGTATGTTGCGTCTGATAGGCATTTCATTTGTGTCCTTTGGGGTAACAACGCATCTGACGGTCTACGTGTTCTATACATATTGGTGGAAACTACGAAACAAGTGCTCCCATGGTGATAAAAAATTTAAGTTAAGGCTCCTTAAGATTTGAGATACTATTATTATCGATATTGCTTTTTTTTTTCGTGGGAAAATCCTTATGGATACCTTTGGATGTAGGTGTAATTGAAAGGTTATGCCAAACCCCTACCGGCTAAAACCACTATCAGCGTGCATGAGGGAACGGAGACCCCGATCTCCGTTCGGAACACAACCGGAGCCCTCGGGGCAATTCTTACTGCTCCCAGCACCCTCGCAGTGCTATCCCAATGTCTTGGGATCACTTCCGAGCCATCGTCTTCATGGAGGGTTACATTACTGGACATTCGAGACCTCCGCTCCAAACGTCTGCAACTCCAGAGGCCCCGTTTCTGATAGGGAACACTAATTTAAAGGGGAGGGCCGTGACGAACGCCTTGTAGACGTCGTCTCCGAGTGGGATCTGTCCGTCTCCCATCCCGTTCAGCAGCCTCCTTCTGGACCATTACGGACTCGTAGATGGCAGCTACGGCCCTCAACGCTGAATTCGCGCTCAGCATCGCTGACACGACTGCTGTCAGGAAGAGGTTCCGGAGATCGTCTGTTCCCGTTCCTACACTGGGCAAACCACAAGGTCCTCTTGAAGGTACCACTGGCAGCCACTAGTGTGTCTTCGGCATAGCAAACGATATTTACGCCAGCGGGTTGACCTTCCTGGTCGATTCGCAGAACCGCATCGTATCCGAAGTTCCACAGTAGTGTACCCAGCAGCGAGCCCGTTTCGCCCAGGATCGTCCTTCCATCTTGCCGCATCAAAAGAATGTACCTTCTGCGCAAGTAATCCCTGATTACGCCTTGCAGGTCGGCAGGCACCTGGTGATGTGCTAGTGCCTTTCTGATTGCATCCCAGGGTATAGAGTTAAAGGCGTTGACGATGTCAAGACTTATCGCTAATGCCATACCACCCTGGGATACTCTTGTTCCGATAGGAAGCGGATGCGTATAATGTCATCTTTTTTATAATATAGGGTGACAAACGAGCACATAGTCCACCTGATGGTAAGTGGTTGCTGTAGTCCATAGAAGTCTACATACTATTCTCGAGTCGTCGAGGACTAAGATGGAATGTCTCGTTTTCAGTACAAGTGTCTCCGGTTCTCTACACTCACCATACGAAACACAACAGCGTTAAGCTACTATTTCACGCTGGTATTCCGTGAGATCGTGGTACTTCTCGGATCGATCCGACCCTACAACTATACCACTCATATGGTTGCAGCATGGCTCTACCACGTATACTGTAATTTCCCAATTTATTTCCATTTGGCTGATAGTCAATTTGGATCCCAACGGGGTCCAAATCGGGACCGCGACAGGTGTCTGCTGAGCCGAGTGGCCATGATTCTTTCAAACAATTTGCCATTCTCGTTCAACAGGTATATGGGAGATCGGTGAAACGTAGAGGGAGAGTTGGCGGCCTTGACTGGCCCTGACCTCAAGAGGACCAACTTTGCCTCTTTCCATGCTGTGAGTAACTTGGCACTCCGCAGACAGTTGTGTAAGCTTCTCAAGGCAGCCAAACTCGGCACTTGAGCCCGACTCGGAATTTCGGTTCAGTCCAGCTCCTCCATGGTTACCCCATCTCATCTTGTCAATTTAGTGACGATGGCAGACGACCTGAGGAACTTCATTGGTCCTCTCGGAAAAGTTTGCTAATCACTCTTCCCATCAGTTACGGATCGAGAGGTCCAGCAAATGGGGCGACCATGGCTGGAGTTTTCACAACATCATCTTGTATGGTCGCCCCCAGGGATCTTCGTTGAGTCCCTCTAGGAGCTCCTTCCAGGCAATTTGTAACGCCTTTTTACACACTCGGCATGCCCTGAATAGTCTGGCTATATCCTCGGATGGTGCTCACCTTCTCCTTCGGGCTATAGGGTACTAGTGCCGACTCCGCAAGCAGACCGCACGAAAGTCTGTGAATTTCTGCCGAACACTAGTACACCGCCCTGTGCTTGGGACGACTGGTTCTGGGCATCGACACGTGGCATATATGCGCCGTCATAGCTCGAAACCAGTTCCCTTTCCCTTCCGAATCGAGCTAACCTCTTCGGCTTTTTCCAGCCAGACTGCAATAATGGCGGCGCCTTGGAGCTAGTCTCGGTCGAGCCGCATGAGACACCAACGCCGCGGTGAGCTGCCTTCTCCATGATTGGCATTACTGTCGAAGTGCCGAAGTGCGACATCGAGCACAATGTGGCGGTGGTCTGACAATGTAACCACTTCCGTCGTAACTTACATTGAAGGAGGAACTGCTCACGTGAAGTCCACAATGGACTACCCATGCTACCGCACACATGTACTCTCAGACCCCCGATTTAACAGTCGAAGGTCCAAACCAGCCGTCCACTCCATCACGATCTCTCTTTTGGATCGTCCCTGGTGTTGCCCAAGGTCCTAGTATTGGCGTTAAAATCTCCTAGGGCTGACGGACGAGCTAAACACCTGTGCACGCAATCCACCACCTCAGTTCATCATCGATACTGCTGGTTTAAGCTGTCGTCGAAATTTTCCAAAATATGACGTAAATTATTAAATAACATTTTAAATGAATAATAAAGAGAATAATTTCTTATTACTTGATATAAAAGTACAACCGTATGTGTGCGTTATTAAAAAACAGCTAAAGTTCTAAGATATTTTGGCGAGATTCTGAAGCCTTGTGCATTTAGATGCGCCAATATATTTTAAGTCTATGTATTTAGAATAGATAGTATTTAAAATATCCGCAAATTGTGAATTAAATACATCAGGCTAGGCTGTATGATCTTTAACTTTTTGCCGGTAAATTAAAAATAACTTTCAACTCGTAGACAGAGAAACCTATAGACAAATTGACGCTTCTTTGCTTCCTTTTAGAGAGATGTTTTTGTTGCTTGTAGTGATTTAAGGAGTTTACAAGTTGATTTAAGTGAGAAAAAAGTGTTTTGTGAGCTTAAGATTGATGAATTTTGTTCAGTTCAGTTTGAACTTTTTTAAAGTCAGAATATAACCTTTTTTTTGAGACGCGTTTTCTTTACGTTTCAACTACTGTCAATGTCAAATTGCTAAAGTATAAACTTGACAGCTTGACACTCAAGTCGGCAAATGAGGCCTAAAGTGAATTGTATTTTATTATTATTTTCGTATTTAAATTAAATGGTAATTTTTTTCGTTTTCATTCCTATATAATATATTTCATCTATAAATTTAAAATGGGTGATAATGACGGTTATTACGATGGTGATGGGTTAGTATAGACAAGCATGTATAATAAGAGTTTAAATCATTGTTTGTATTTTGTGTGTTTATCTAAGTAAAATATTTTCGCTTTTTATCGCTTTGTTTCTTTAATAGGTTTTTCTTACCATGAATTAGAATTTACCAATGTTGATTTGGGATTTAAAGGTCCTAATTTTATATGGGACTTCTAACAAAAAAGAATGTGCCTACTGTGTTACTTGCTTAGCATGTCTAAATAGGCGACTAATGGGATAATGGGGTTGTATGCGTGTAGGGGATGGGTTGCCCACCTGTTATTTCTTTCACAATTATCAATCTAAATATATATAACGTTTGAGTATCTTCTCCTTGGACTCTGCCTATCCCCTCAATTTTTTTTATAGAATAAGGGTGACAAATGATCACGCGGTCCACATGATGGCAAATGGATCCTGTGGCCTTTAAACATCTACATTTATACTTAATTAAGATTCAAAATTCAGATTTATTGTCACTCTTGGGGACTGAAATGGAGTGCCCTGTTTCAAGTAAAAAGGGGCTCTGGTTCTCTACACTCACCATATGAAACACAGCAGCATTAAGCTGATACACTCTGACACTTACTCTGACACTACAAATCTGTGAGAGTGTGGTCCTTCCCCGGTCTAGCTGACCCATTCATGCTACTACCATAATATACCTACAGTGTTGATCTACTAAATATGAAATGACAGATGACAGTGTCATTTCATGGTTTGTATATGTGTATTTATATGCCTGAGATTAAATCTTTTTGATAAAAATTGAGTCTATGTAGAAATGCTAGTGTTACATGGATGGTGATAGCTGCCACTTGTGTCATACTTGTAAATGGGCAATGGCTGCTATGTTTGTCATACTTGTAAACAGGTGCTGCATGTTGGGACTGGTCTACTGTGGCTTACAATACATTTATTAGTTTTAATTTTGCATATTATTTGGTGTGTAACTTTATTGTAGAATGTGCTATGATTATTTATGGGTCTAATACTTTTCAATTTAGGTTAGAATAGTAGTAGTAGTAGTATATACTTTATTATACACCACACATATACAATGAATAAATACATTACAGAGAAAACTTAATATATACGTAATATTATGGTATAGGTTCTAAAAACATGTCAAAAAAGAGAATTAATTTTTAAGAATTAGAATCAATTTTTGACCTTTTAATTTCCAGACATAGGAACCTCTTTTCAAAATGGTTGTAGATTAAATAAATGTTCATGTTTGATGAAAAAAATGAAATCTTGATTTTATATGTTGAAAAATATTGTTTTCATTTTAATTAATTTCATTTGAAAAATGTGGTATATCTACTATGTATTAATTTATTTTGAACTAATTTGCAGGACAATGGATTCTTTACCTGTCTCTCCTGAAGTCACTTACAATTGGGTGGATATAACATCCGATTTTTTTAAATATATTCAAGGTAAATTTGCTTGCTGAATGAATGAATGAATGTTGATAGGACTTGTGTCAATTGTGCATCTTTTTCAAGTGAATTGAACTTAGAGTAGTATTATAATGTTCAACTTGATAAATGTAATGTTCATGATTAAAAATACTACGGATTTATTAATTGTTATAAATAAATATTTGTCTACCAATCTTTGTCGCCTAGTAGGCAAAATCATGAAATGAAATGTTAAACTATGAAAAGTTGGTAAAAATGATGAATTCCATTTCCTCATTTTTGACCAAAAAATGTTTCAAGCATAGCCTAATCAGAAATTTGCATCGAAAACATTTCAATCCAAGTTCAAATATTGTATTAATAAATGACAGTTGACTGCCCCATTGGTCTAGTGGTAGAATGTGATTGCTAATCATGTGAACATTGTAGTCCTGAGTTCGAATCCCAAGCTGGGCCTAATAAGTTATAATTGTTTTCTGCTAGGAATTCTCAATAGCATCTTGCAGTTAGGAAGTTATTGATGTTTCACACTAGTACCTCAGAAAACGTGAAGCCGTTGGTCCTGCGCCTGTTGGATTATTGTCTCATCGTATTTTAAGATTGAGGGAATAGAGTGCACCTGTTTTGTGCATATACTAATGCACTATAATCCTGTGTTATGCAGATAGCTAGCCTCTTTTGTACCGAAATTTGGCCTGGAGGACATTATTATTTCTTAGAACTGATTATCACATCTTGGTGTTTAAAAAAACACCTTAATTATTTTTTTAACATTTTTATGTTTTTTACATTTTTTTTTTCAGATCTAAAACTAGGAGAATTATTACATGATGGCCATCTTTTTGGTTTATTTGAAGCCATGTCAGCAATTGAGATGATGGATCCTAAAATGGATGCAGGGATGCTCTGTAACCGGGGAAGTCCTAAGCCACTAAATTTTCAACAAGCTGTTGCAGTATGTCATGTTTACTCATTTTAATTTTACTTATGATTATTAGTAATCAATTAAACCTAATATGACTAGCATTTCAACTCCCGACAAAGAGGGATGTCTGTCTCTAGCATCTTAGCTCCCAAATGTATGAGCCGATTTAGATTTCGTTTTGTTTTGTTTAAAAGACGACTTGATCGAGAGTGTTCTTAGCTATGGTTCAAGAAAATCTTTTCAGCCATTTGAAGATCGTCAGCTCTTTTTGTTTCGGGGGTTTTAATTTTTTTTAATTTCAGTTATAATACAATTGAGGGTTAATTTTGCAATATCAGTTTATACAATAAATAGGTATACATAAGAAATCCAGTGTGTCACAGCATAGATAATAGTTTTAGAAAATCTGTTTTCAATATACTCCGTGGTACTGAATAGTTACTACCATCAAAAGTCATCTTGATTCAAATACACAAAGCAAGTGACTTTACTGCCACTTTAATATGCATAACAGCATCATTGCTAATAGTATAGGATGGCTTTGTTTTTGATATATGGTGCAGTACATCTTATAGCAATTGGTAGGTATGTATTAAACATTAAAAGTAAATATGTTATACTTAACAGTTTACAGTCCACTGATGAACATGGATATTCATAGCATATCATTTTATTACAATATTTCAAAAATAAATGCAAGGTTAATTTTTATATATATATATATATATATATATATATATATATATATATATATATATATATATATATATATATATATATATATATATATATATATAAAAGGCTTCAGTACCATAGACCACATACATACCCTGCAGCAGATTGTACAGAAGACCGAAGAGTACAATCTGCCACTTTGCCTGGCATATGTGGACTATGAGAAAGCCTTTGATTCCGTCGAAATTTGGGCGGTGCTACAGTCCCTTCAGCGGTGCCAAGTTGACTGTCGGTATATCGAGGTGCTGAAGTGTTTGTACAGTAGGGCTACGATGGCTATCCGAGTACAGAACAAGAGTTCGAAACCTATCCAACTGCAGAGAGGTGTAAGACAGGGTGACGTTATATCCCCGAAACTCTTCACCGCTGCGTTGGAAGACGTTTTCAAGCTACTGGACTGGAAAGGATACGGTATTAACATCAATGGCAAGTACATCACTCACCTTCGATTTGCCGACGATATAGTCCTTTGGCAGAATCGCTGGAGGACCTTAGCACTTTGCTCAATGACCTAAATGGTGTCTCCCAACGGATAGGTCTTAAGATAAACATGGACAAAACAAAGATTATGTTCAATGTCCATGTCACACCTATGCCGGTAGTTGTGGGGAGCACTATGCTCGAAATTGTTGACGAGTACGTTTACCTGGGATAAATAGTCCGACTAGGTAAGTCCAACTTCGACCGAGAGGTCAATCAACGGATTCAACTCGGCTGGGCAGCGTTCGGGAAATTACGACACATCTTCTCGTCAGGTATACCTCAATCTCTGAAAACTAAAGTGTACAACCAGTGCGTGTTGCCAGTGATGACTTACGGATCAGAGACGTGGTCCTTCACTGCTGGCCGTATGAGGACGCTCA